CCCCGCCCCCGCCTCCTCCCGGGTCCCCGCCAGCGTCGACCTCGGTTTTCTCTGGCGAGGCTCTCGGACGGGTGCCCCGGACTAACCCCGCGGCCCGGCGTCCAGCTCGCGGGTTTCCTCCACCTCTAGTCGGACCTGGCCGACACCCACCAGCTTCCCAGCCGCCCTCCCATTGTTCCCGCGGCGGGAGTTCGCGGAAAACCGCGCCGCGCATTCCAGCCCCTCTCAGGTGGCAATACCTCTGGACTCTCTGCGGGTTCTCCAAGGGCTGGCCCCTGGCTCCTGGACCCTGCCGCCCACCCTCCACAGGCGCAGGCACACTCAAAGTAAAGACAAGGCTTTTCTAAATTTGCCTTGTAACCACCACGGCCCTTACAGGCGCTCGTTCAGGGAGGGAGGAACTAATCCAAGTCCAGCAAGCCTCAGATAGTAGCAGGGAGAAGGTGGGGCACGGATTAGGCGTCCCCATTCCACAGATGAAGAAAGAGGGAATTCCTGCCTCAGGGCTCCTGGAAAGTGCAGGGCCCTCCAGAAGTTCAGGAAATAATGAACCTGGTCTCCTTTGTTAGGCACCGAATAAAGCTCAGAGTGTCCTGCATTTTCAAGAGTTTTAATGGAAGTCAGGAGATTAAAAAAAAAAAAAATGCCTACTAAGTGCAGGAGCTTTCATCTACTTTGTCCCACTTAGACCTGACCACAGTCCTATGTAGCAGCTGTGATTGTCCCCACTTTCCAGATGAGAAACTTGTCTTAGGTCTCTCCACCAGGCAGCACAGAGCCAAGATAAAGTTCAACAGTTACTGAAGTTCACTGCGCTCCCCACTACGTTATAGGATACTAAGTGCCAAGCAAGCAGCTGAGAACGTAAGAAATCTAAAAGGGGAGGCTTAATTTGGCCTCAAAGGACTTCCACAAACTAAGAGAGGACAAAACTGAAGACGATGAGGTCCCGAAGCAAGATTGTGCATGGATGTCAGGGGAAGGGGGAATTATAACTAATAAGAACTAATGCGTTTGGAGCACTTACTCTATCCCAGGCACTGATGTAAGAGCTTTATTGCACTAACTCATTTAATCCCACAATAAATAACACTGTGGGAAAGAGGTTATTCTTATCACCACTTTAAACATTAGGAAACTGAAACACAACAACGTTACATAGCTGGTAAAGTGGCAGAACCAGAATCCAAACCCAGGAAGCTGATTCTCAAGCCTCTATTTTTAACTACCACAGGCAAGACAGAAGCAGCCCTGAATTTGAGACAGACATTTCAATGATCAATCAGAGCACCCACCACAGCAGGACTGTTTACTTGCTGTCTTCTGTCTCCTTGTGTGCTGGTGCCCAGCACACAAGGCCTGGTATGCAGCCTAGTGGGTTAAGCTACAGCATGACTGCCACATGAGGCTGGAGTGCCACGTGCAAGGCTCTGCTGGGCATTTTTATCAGTGGTTTTAGATGAAGCAGAGGAAAGCATGAAACATTAATCAAATCTATAGCTGTCATGAAGTTGGGAAGGACAACAAACACTCCGGAAACCAAAATTTGTTTCCAAAAGATCTCAGCAGCTTTGGGGCCGAGCTGGAACTAATAAGATAAAATGCCACACAGAATAAATGTAAACTCCTGTCTTTCTGTCCATACCAGAGTGACCCCTTAGAACTTCCCGTGATGCTGGAAAAGTCCTGAATCTGCATCCTCTAATATAGATTGGTCTCCTGTGGCTGTTGAGCACTTGAAATGCAGCTAATACAATTGAGAGACTAACACTTTCACTTAACTTCATTTTTAAAGACTTTAAATGTAAATGTCCACATGAAGCCAGTGGCCGCCATATTGGACAGCACAGCTCCAAAAGATCAAGTGCCCAAAATACAAGCTAGAAAGAATCTAGATTACGAGCAGTTTCGGTGAAAATGACTTAAAGGTTTGAGATGACTTCAACAATGCAATGTGGCTGGAAAAAAAAGGAAGGGAGGGAGGCAAAGAGGAAAGGAAAAAAGGAAGGAAGACAGGAAAAAGTGAACATGATATGCTGTATCAACAGAAACCATGGGTTAGGCCTCTATGGTTAGCCGTTGCTAGAGGCACTGTGCTGCCCTGAGCTGATCACAGCTGGAGCACAGGGTTCAGCTCTGGGCCCCACAATCTGAGAGGAACACTGTCACAGTGGAGCAAGTCCAGAGGAGGGGACCAGAATGCTGAGGACCTGGATACCATGCTTTATGGTGAATGATTTAAACAGGCTGGAGAAGGGAAAGCACAAGGAGGCTATAATGGGTGTCTCCAAACATCTGAAGGGCTTGTCATACAGAAAGTGGATTTGATTTGTTTATTATTTAGGTCTAATAAATAAAACGAAAAATTCTGTGAGCCCCTAAGCCATGCTCTCTGAGGGAAGGATCCATATCTAATTCCTCTTTCTGTTTTCCTCAGCACCTAGTCCACCCAGGATCCGGCCCCTATTAAACACTGACTACAAATTTGCTGACAAATGGATGTGAAAGAATTCCACTCAGCTCCAGGGGGTGGACTTCCAAGAGGACCGTTTCAGCTTACAGTAAAAGAACTCTCTAATAGTCAAAGCTATCCAAGAATGGAATGGACCACTTGGGGAGTGATGAGCTCCCTGCCAATGAATGTATTTAAAGAGAGATTGGTCTCCACTTAGGGGCCAAACCAGGAACCAGATGACCTTTCAAGTTGAAAAATGGGCTAGTTCTATTGTGAGGGGAAACAAGATTAAGGTTGTGCTTCCAGACAATTACCTGGCTTTATGTATAGAACAAATTGATGTGGAGGGACCAGAAGCAGGGTGAACCAGTTAGGAACCACTGCAGAAGTCCAGCAGATAAAAGAATAGGCTGGGTGGCAGTGAGCATGGAAAACCAAGGACAGGTTTGCGGCGACAGGAGCACTGCTATTGAGCAGGGAGTCAGGAGCTACAAGTTCTAGTCCTGCTTCTGCCAGTAACTTATTGTATGGTCTCAGAGAAACCCCTTACCTTCTCTGGATTTCAGTTTCCCTATCGGTGAAATGCAGAATAATCTCCACGTCTCTTCTAATTCTGGGTTCTGTTTATAGGAGAGAGACTATGAAGGATACCTAGGATAATGTATTAGACTTTATAAGCTTCAAAGTAACAATATCATGTTACTATCATTACAAAGGCAGCCTTCCTAAGACTTGGTGACTAGATTGGTAGGAGGGGACAAGGAGCCAGTGGACTGCATCTGTAGTGGCGGGAGTACAGGTCAAGGACCTCTGATCTTTTGGGAGGGTCAGCTAGCCTCTCTACCCCTCCCCCAACATCTGTGAAGACAAATGTGTTCTGTGTGCTGTCCCCTCGTGAACTGTTTCCTCATTTCTTTGAGCCACACCCCATATTTGGCTAAAGGAGGCAACCAGTTCTAGGAAAAGTTAGACTCTTTCCTTCTCCTTTTAATGTTCACAAATGACACCTGGCATTGTCCGTTCCTTAAGTAATAAGTATCATCATCTCACATGAAAATAGCCAATATTATTGAGCAGTATGTGCTAAGCACTTTGCTTACATGATTTTTCTCACCCTGGGAGGTAGCTATAATTATTATTCCCATTTTCTAGACAAGGACACCATGGCTCACGGAAATGCACAATTTTCCCACAGTCACATAGCTTATGGGGGGGATTCCAATACAAGTCTGTGTTCTTTCAAGGCTGCATTCCCAAGGCTTCCAGCATTTTACTATGTATTTTTGCAACCACTTAGAGAGGAGGGCAGGATCAGTATGGTCTCTAATTTACAACTGGGGAAACCACAGCTCAGAGAGGTTAAATCAAATCACTAGAACAATTTAGTAAAGTCTATCAATGTGCAGTTCAGTGCTGTTTCCAGTTCTCTACTGCTCTCCTATGACATAGCAGGGCTTTTTCCTCCTTCCCCTGCACCTTCCAGGGGCTCCCCAGTCCTCCTCAGTCTGATGCCCAACCTACTTAAGAGAAGGACTTTTACTTTTTCTGGGACAGAGTAAGGAGAGGGTTTCTGAAGTCAAAAATTCATTTCCACCTCCCTCCCACCACCACCACCATAAACACATACTCCCCAGCCCAAGGCCTTGAGGTGAAGGTGCTAAAGGCTTACAGAGTGAGTCACAGGGAGCTGACCTGCCAGTCACAGGAGCACCAGGTGCTAAGCTTAGTTTAGAGGGGTGGAAAAGTAGGCCAAATGTTCTCATCCACAGGAGGACAGCCTAGTTGTACCTCATGCCCCCTACCTATTTCAACCTCAAATTCTGCAACTGTTTAGGAAACACTGTGCAAGGTTTTGGGGGCAGAGGGGACACATGACAAATAAGAGTGTGTCCCCACTCTCCAGAGGGATTAAGACAGTAAGGACAAAGTAATATATATACTCGTAAAGAATGACGGGGGCACATAGTGATTAATTCTGAGAAGTTCACGAA